GAATTTAGTAGTAGACAATCTATACCTTGTATGAAGTGTGCTCTGTAGTTGTTTCAGTTTTGAGTGTGAAAAGCACGGTGTTTTCAATTCAATTACTCCAATAGAAACAACAAGTTTCTTAGGGCCAAAGGTGTTAAATGTTATTTTTGCATCATGGGTTACTAAATTGTTGATTGCGGTGGATAAAACCTTTTCTTTAGTAACAGGTGAGGTTGATTGTACAATATTCATCAAATTCCTTTGCTTAGCTAACTTTGTGCAAGGATGTTTAATACCTTTTATTATTTGTTGAAAACAACGTCTGCAAAGAACAAGATTTTCATTGGTAATCGAAAGATTCAAATTACTGTGACTTTGATAAATATCTGCATTAGTTTCACAAGATACCATTGGTGGAAGAGTTGCTGTTTCAGTATCATTTTTACCCCCATTAACACAAATAAAACACTCACATTTCCCACCTCGAATAACTCTAGTATTAAGGCCTAAAAGTAATAAGAAGTTATTTTTTAGTGCAAACAAAATATTGTTTATAAGAAGAACAATAATAATGCAAAACATAATTGGTTTTTATTGGCTTATTTTCTTATAAAACTTATCTTTGTACTTAGGTCGAGCGTTGAATAAAAATCTTTTTTGAATCTGTTTTCTCTAAACTCACTAGATTTTTTCTGCAATGAGAACATAACATTTTAGGTAGATCAGGGTTTTCAACAGAGTAGTTTTCTCAAAAAAATCTCTTGATAAGATTTTCATAATTTTTTGCTTGTTTTGGACCTGATTTATTGCATTTAGTTTGGATGCATCTTAAATCGTTACTTTTTTTCATACAGCATATGCAATAGCATTTTTAAAACTCATTATGATCTTTAGCAAAGTTTTTATTTCTTTTTTATTATTCAGAAATAGTTCCTATATTTTTTAATCGGCTTTTAAATTCAAGTCAATATAAGTTTTTTACTTAATTAAATAAAATCGCTGTTATTGCTAAAATGTGTTTATAAATATTGTTAAAGTCTTTTAAAGCTACAACAACTATAAGCCAATTGGAAACTAATGAATATTATTATAGCCAATCGCGCTGCTGCAATTGCAGAAAGTAAACAACTGTAATGGCTGGCGGAAAAGTATTATTTTAATACAAAAACAGCGTTATTTATAAAACTTCTCAATAAGTTTTCTAAAAAGGCTACCAACAAATAATTTAAATTTTGATAGTTTCAGAATGTACAAATGTACTACTTTCAAAAACAAACAAAAAACTTCATGGGACTTGATATAAGGTCTTAGGTCACCTTCAGGGTACCCGTGTAATGTAAAAACATAATAAATATCAAAGTGAGTACATAAACTAATTTATTTTTACTTAAGACGAGCACTTGACATTAGTTAAATATAAACAAATAAAAATAATTGTATTATAATAAATAATAGTGTATTATTTATAAACATTGCTTTTATATGCTTATATTTAATGAGAAGTAAAATCTTGTGCATTAATTAACTTCCCTTTCTGATATATTTAAAAAATTACCGTAGTTTTTTTTTCTTTAACTAAGTTGATGGAACATCATTACAAGTTGAATCCTAAAGATTCCCCTTATATCTTTTTTGGTTAATTCAAACTCAATTCACCATTTAGACAGCTTTCGAACTATTTTAAAAAAATATTAACTGCATATTTAGGCAAACCACTAAGAGTCAAATCTAGTTAATGCAAAATCAAATCAGTTGTAAAATATGTGTCTCTGTTTTTATGACTAGGTAACTCATTCTAATATCTCCTAATGTGGGTACAGCTCTAAAACTCAGTTTTATGGTTCTGAGGCCAGCTGGTAGTCAGGTTTCCCGAACTCTGTAGTAGCTCTCAGAATGGCTGATTCCATCAACAGCTGAAAAATATGAAAGTATTAACAGTGCCATGTTGTGCATGGATGGTGTTCCTGTTTGTACTTTTAGTGTGCATTGCCAAGGCCACATTTGGAGCCCTTTGTTATGGCTTAGGTTTTATTATTAGTAATGAGGCAATCGCTTGGGCTATTAAACTGTACTGAGTACTATCAATGCTTTGAGTCAAGTTCTTTAACAAATTTAAAAATGAATACAGTACCAAAAACTATAAAACATAAAAAACCATTGTCGTCACCAAGTTCTCTAAACCTATCATTCACTAATATTCGTGGTGCAAAGTTCACCGGACCTACTTGTTTGTTGTGAGACTAATTTGAGTCCAGCTGTCTCATCTTGTGATTTCTTTGTTGATGGTTATCTTCTTTTAATTCGTAAAGACTCCAATAGTCATATGCTTGGCCTGGCTATTTACATTTGTAAGAATTTACCCATTTGTTAGGAAACTAGTTCTGAATCCACAGACTATTTTTTTATGTGCTTTCGTTTAGCACCACTTTACTCTATCACCTTTCTCTTTGTTTTATATCGCTCTCCTTTACCTCAAGACTGCACTCTTCTTGATGTTATTTCTGATTATATTGATCAAGCCCTCTTTCTTTATCCATCAGCCAATATTGTTGTTGTCAGTGACTTTAATGCTTATCACACTGAATAGCTTGGCTCTAGTGTCAGTGTCTTGTTTCTGATCCTAGTCAGTGCTCAGTTTCTCCACATTCATCCTTAGGTGCTTCTGATTAGGTGCTTCACAGTTTGATCTCTCTAAAACTATTATCTCATTCTTCCTCATCATCTGAATCCCTTATTATTGTACCTCTTACAACTACCTTAAAGCTGATTGGGACTCTTTCCGTGATTTTCTTTGTGGTGGCGCTTGGATAGAAATCTTTTGTCTTCCTGTTGACAAATGTGCTTCTTACATAACTTCATGGATTCAGGTTGACATGGAATCTTTTATTCGCTCTCGACAATTCCAGGTCAAGCCTCACTCAATGGTTTTCCTCACATTGTGCTGCTGCAATTTCCAATCAAAACCGTTACTTCCATGTCTATCAGTGAAACAGTTCTCCAGAAAACAGATGTCTGTTTATTTAACCATTGTAAAAAAGTTTTCTCTAATTTTGAAAGTCAGTTATAAAACTAATTTTTTTTTGTATCATTTTTTTTTACTTATAAAAAAATCTTATTGTTAATTAAAGATTCAAAAACCTTACTTATTATAGGAAGAAGACTAATGGGATGGTAGCCCGCTATTCTCAGGTCATGAAATCTCGTATTTCATCACAAAAATTAGGCTCTGGAGGTTTCTGGAGAATCTTTATTAGTATCAGTAATAAGGGCAAATCTGTAATTCCACCTCTCTTGTATGGTTCAGACTTTGTCACCTCACCTAAAAACAAAGCGGAATTGTTTGCTAAGAACTTTTCATCAGTATCATCTCTTGATTTCACTAGATGCGTTCTACTAGATATAGCCGTTAAACAGGTTGATCTATTGACTGACATTCTTATCACTCCAGCATCTGTATCTAAAGTGATTTCCTGCTTAGAGGAAATCACTTTACAGATGCTACAGCTTGTGGCCGGGACAACATAACTGTTATAGTCATGCAGAAATGTTCTTCAGAGCTGTCGTCTATACTTTCAAAACTATTCAACAAGTGCATATCTGAGTCTTGTTTTCCAACCTGCTGGAAAGCAGCATCTGTTATCCCTATTTTCAAAAATTCTGGAGAGCGATCTGATTTATCTAACTACCGTCCCATTAGTCTTCTTCTTATAATAAATAAGGTTTTTGAATCTTTAATTAACAATTAGTAAAAAAAAAATGATACAAAAAAAAATTAGTTTTATAACCGACTTTGAAAAGCGACTATAAAAAATGGTCTCTTTAATAAACTTTATATAAGAATAAATAAAGTTAATTCACTGGAAAAGTAGAAAGATTTTGTTTAAAAGAAAAAATTTTTTTTGAAAGTTGTTTGAATTAAATAACTTTGATCTTAACTTTTGTTTTTATAATGAAACAAATTTAAAGTTACAAATTATTAGGTTACAGTTATACTATTAATGTTTTATTTATAAAAATATTAATGAATAATGAATCTATGTTTTTAAATTTATATAAGTATGTTTTTTTTATTGCAAATGTCTTTAATTTAAAAAAAAAACTATATCAACTTTTTAAATAAACAATTTAATTTTTTTTTAAGCTACTGCAAAGAATTGATAAGAATCTTTTTTTTTTTAACTTTTAAATGTGCGTCTTTGTTAAACAATAGTTAGATGTTTTTACTTCTAGCATTATATTATAAAAACAGTAAAAATAAACAATTTAATGTTATTTATTCCAAACATAATTTAGATAATTTTATTGTTATAGTTTTATTTATTTTAGTAAAGTTTTATTTTAATTTTTTTATTTATTTTAGTTTTAAGTTTTTTATTTTTCATTATTATTTTTTTTTTATGAAGATTTTTTTTTTTAAGTTATTTACTTCATAGTTAAGTTAAGATAATTTTTTCAGTGCATTGTATACAAACTTTTAAAACATAATAACAGCCATGGTCAAGTTTTCAAAATCCAATAATATTTTTGTGGTCATATTATGACGTGAAATCGCACACCTTCCTGGCAAAGCCTATATATATATATATATATATATATATATATATATATATATATATATATATATATATATATATATATATATATATATATATATATATATATATATATATATATATATATATATATATATATATATATATATATATATATATATATATATATATATATATATATATATATAGATATAGATATAGATATATAGATATAGATATAGATATATAGATATAGATATAGATATAGATATATATTGGATACATATTATCATATCATAGATGCAAAAATAGATAATATATACACTATCTAGATATGAAAGTTTTACACAATAATTATAACAGCAAAAAATTACTTTGTTTTTTCATTATTTTTTGCTTTTTTATTACATGTATACATTCTATGTAAAGTATATAATAATGTTTTTATTTAAGTTGATTTTATGTTCTATATTTGATTTTATTTTCAAGCGTTCTATCTCATTTGGAAATGGTGGCATATACACTGTTGTAATTCAACCTAACAAAAAACTGCAGGGGGTTTGTTATTTATTTTTTAAGTTCAAAAACATATTAAAAAAATTTTATTTTGTGTTTTCAATAAATTTTTATTTTTTTAATTCAGTTAAAAATGTTGGAATATGCGGATCTTTCACCTCGACCTATAAATATATTGTGGCAAATTCCACAATACATTATTATAACACTGGGTGAAGTAATGTTTTCTATCACTGGTCTTGAGTTTGCATACTCTCAAGTAAGTCTTCAAATATATATAGTATAGTTATTACTAGTAAGTGACCAAGGCTTCGGCCTAACTACATGTTGGAATTTTTACATACCCAACCCTATCAAAATTATAAGATTTAGCAGGGGTTGATACCCAGGGCTAGAAAAAATTTATTTTCAAAAAATACATATATTATTATTTATGAACACATTTACCATTTATTAGATACTGTCATATAATATGGATATAAACATATGTTTGCTATATATTTTTATATATTTATACACACTCTAGTAGGGGAGAGTTGTTGAAATTAGAACAATTAAGGTTGCCTGAAATTGGGACTTAAGGAATGTTTTTCAACAGATAGTTTAACTATGAAACATATTTAAAGATGGCTCAACTATGAAATATTTATGATTTAATACAAGCCATAAATATTTATGATTTAATACAAACAAGCAATCCAACTATACTTTGAACCATAGTTTGACTTAAGTGATTGCAAATTTGATTTTGTCAAGACTCTTTGTTTTTTTTTCAATTTTGAAAAAAAAAAAAAAATTAACTACTAATTTCTTAATTGGAACTTTTTGTTCCAATCAAGAAATTAGTTTCCTTAATTAGAATACTTTGACTCCTTAATCGGAACAGCTTGCTTCTTTAAAAAAAAAAAACGCATTAAAATTATCAGATATCATTATTACAAATAATCCATTATGCAAAGTTTTAGCTATTATGGCGTTCTTTTGTTTTATTAAGTAATATTTTGTTTAGTAATTTAAAAATTTTCAATAAATTTTGAGGTTTATGATATTACCTATTTATTTTTAAATTTTTTTAATCCTTTGATTTTATCATTTATGAATGTTACAAAGAAGCTGTTGAAAATTATGATTATGTTACAAAAAAAGTGATGGTGCAAAGTGCGTTTTTCGAGGGGTAACATTAAGAATCATCTAAAACATCGATAATAAAATACTTTACTAGAAAATTCAAAATGTTGCCTTGAGACATTTCAAAACAAAAGGAAGCGTTCAAATTTAGGAAAAATTCTTTTTTTATAAGGTGTAGTATCTGCTGAGAGAAGATGATCATATAAATTAGATTTGTCAGATTAGTTTATGATTGTGTGGGTGTTAAGCAATTAATATGCAGATGATGTGTCAGTATGTAGAGAGTTAGCAGCTTCAGGAAAAAAAGATAGAATTAAGAAAACCTGGAGAGAGTGGGTTACATATGCTGTGTACAAGCTTCATTTCCGACCCTGATTAAATATCAACTCTGTTTACCCACTAATTAATACAAATTAGAAATTTGAAAGTATGCCTTAGCATTTTAAGTTTTTGTGTTGATTAAAATATTTATTTATGTTTCTTAAATTCCATTGTTTGTAGAAAAATATTTATTGTTATTTTTATTATTAATTGTTTTCATAAAAGTCTACAAATTATAAAAGAATCTTCAGTAAAATTATTTTATCTCCTAAATAAAGAGAAGTTGTGTTCATATTAAAAAGAATGTTTTGAAAAAATGTTTTGGTTGAATTTTTTTTTGAGTAAAACAAAATAAGAAACATATACCAAAAAAAATTAACTTTAGTTTTACATGAAGCTTGCTCCATGTTAGTCTGTTTTTTAAACTTTATAATTAAAATTAAACTTTTATAACATCAAATAGAAAACAGCTTTTTTAACAGAATTTTTATAAGGATGATACCTTTTTAATAACAATAGATTTGTATAACACAAAAATAATTTATAGCATTAGACAAGCTTAAAATATCTGAAATATTTTATTCATGTTTTTAATGCGAACTTGGCAAAGTTTAGAAAATAAAAAAAAATAAAGAAATTCTGCAGTAATAATTTATAATGAAAAAAAAAATTTTATATAATAATAAGTAAATAAACAAATTCTTTAGTAATCTATAATAAGTATAAAAGAAAATTCTATAATTTGAAGAAAAGAATAATTATTACATTTCTTTTTCGAAATTCCAAAATTGCATCATATACTAAATCTCTTTGGAATTAAGCGCACTTGAATAAATTATAAAGTCTGTAGATTGGGGTGTATATTTTAAAGACTTGAAAACACATGCTAACATGGAGACAGCAAGCTTCAAGTAAAACTACAAAGTTATTTTTTCTTGGTATGCATTTATAATTTTGTTTTACTCAAAAAAATACAGTCCAAACATTTTTTTAAACATTCTTTTTATTGTGAACACAACTTGTCTTGGCATTTTGGTATCTGTTTAATAATTTATTTACTATTTTTTTTATTTATACTTACAAATGAGACAAAATGGGATTAACAAACATTTGTGTTCATATTAAAGAGTTATTAATAGTTACTACTTGGTATTTTATTACTTTGTTATATACAATTTTTTTTCCTAAATGACAATATCACACCCGCTATGATTAAAACCTTAATTTTATTCTCACCCATTTGTAGTTAAGGTTTCAGATAAAAATTTTAGACTCAGTGTGCTCTTAAAATTGTAGAAATAGTTCATCACATTTTTTGTAAAAAACTGAATAAATGTAATAAATGATTTGAATGAAAGAGCAGTAGAAGATAATTTGATTTACCTAATTGAATGTGGCTTGCAGAAAAAGTTCGTTTATACGATTGCTTATATACATGTGCTAACATACAAAAAAATAATATATTACTTTAATGGTTAAACGTGAGGGTCTTAAATATGATTTCGGAAGCTATTTCATTTTTAAGTAAGCCATTTTCTATAGTAAAAGTTCATAAAGGTAAAAAAAGGTAATAAGGTTGTATTTATATATGTGTGTGTGTGTGTTTGTGTGTTGTTTGTGTTATCGAAAACTCGAAGGTGGGAGAGAGTTTTAATGGGTTAAAATGCAGGGAAAAAAACTAGACAAATAAAAGTTTTTAGAGCATGCAGATACTCTAAAACTCAGATACAGTGAAAAGATGAGACTTTGCAGAATAAAAAATCAGGCATTAGCTCCTTTGAGCAGCAACCATGATGGCATTTGTAGAATCATTAGAGCATCATAAGAAGTAGAGTCGTAGAATCATTAGAGCATCATAAGAAGAACCAACCTAATATGACAACAATATTCCATACAGCAATGAATAAGAGATTTCTAGAGTTAGAAAATGGAATCAGGAGTAGAAAACAGCAAACACAAAAAAAGAGAAACAACTTTAGCAGATGTTAATTTATCGATCAATTGTATATATAGTTTTCATGAGGGGTCAGTAGTGAGCAATAATTCAAATGGGTTGTAGCAAAGAGGACTCAGTGAGAGGGTTGTCAATCATCAATATAAGAATGTTGACAGTATTGCAATAGTTATCTGTAATAAATATCTGAGTTTTGATGGAATTAAAATTCACAAGCCACTGCAAGCCCCAATCTATTACAGAAGAGAGATCAGATTCATGATTAGCTGCCTGTTCTAAGCAATCGAACAGGCATATATATGTTTTCATATATATATACACATGTGTATTTATATAACGGGTGATAAATAAAAAATGAGAATTTTCATATCGGGCTATAATAAAAACAAATGTTTAGAAAATGAAAGTTGTTTTTATTGTTATTGGAGGTGTTCCTTATCTTTAAGAAAATACTAATTAACATTTGAATATGGTCTATCATCAGCAGTAGGACGTTGTTTTGTCATGATGTTGGAACTGGAGCATTGTACAGTATTTATATTGATTTGACAAATACATCTTTTGATTTGGCTAATCAATTGTTTGCAATTCTTAGCTCTCCAGTTGTTTTTGTATACTAAACAAATATCTAATAAAATCTTTATTTAGATGAAACTGATGCAAGTTTGTTGGATTGCAGTTTTTTGGCACATATGGAATGTTTTGGCTTTCCGAACAGACATGTTTTTTGACATAATGTGATGATGCTTTATATAGCCAAAACAAATAATTGTCATCTGAATGACATTTTTGAAGAAGTTGAATCAATATTTTCTTCAAACATTAATTTTGGTATACTTCTTGATTAATAGCCAAACCACTTGACTTAAACAATGGCTTGGAAATTTATCTGCATAATATTGATCATTTCCTGGAACTTGGAACAAAACAAAACATATCCCAGAATAATTTTGGGTCATCCAGCGGCTATGAGATTTCACGGTTGATATTTGTTGCTCAGTGAATTCTAGTGTTCTTGTTTTTTTTTGGCAGACTATTCATTGTTTTTTCAACAATTTACAGGTATAAGGCTGCGTACACTTGAACTTTTCTACAGTATCTCATTGGCTTATTGAATCATTGTTGTTGAAAGCACAGTGAAGCAAACAAAATCCCATCTTGTTCATTGTTTTAGCTGGTCTTCCACCACCACTTCTATGATAGGTTGTTAAAGATGCCAAAATACAGTAAATATTTGAAACTAGAACATTTTCAGTTTTAAAATGATTCTCATTTAACTTTTTTCCGAGATTTTTGTGCATTTGATAGAACTTTACAATGCGCTCGCATAGTACATCTTAATTTGACGGTATTTTAAACACAACTTAACTAGCTGATGCAAAACAAAACATATGATAAGTTTGTAAACAGAAAGAGTATAGTTTCACATAGGAGTACTTTTCTTTTTTTGACTTTTGTAGTTTGATTTCAGAGGGTTTAAAATTTTTCATTTTTCAGGGGCTATACTAGACCGTTTTCAACAGCGACCGTAATTGGCTGCCAATTCGGGCACCGCTTAAATTAAAAATTGGAATTTTTTTGTTTTGTTTTTTTGACGTTTTTTAGGGCAAACATTTTTTTTTTTTCGTGAAAAAATGCCTATATTTGGCAATATTTCTGCTATATTTCTGCGGAATGGAGGGAAGGAGGTACTGCTGCCAAATATTTTTTCTTAAAAAAGCTTATACATATATATATATATATATATATATATATATATATATTATATATATATATATATATATATATATATATATATATATATATATATATATATATATATATATATATATATATATATATATATGTATGTATGTATATATATATATATATATATATATATATATATATATATATATATATATATATATATATATATATATATATATATATATATATATATATATATATATATATATATATATATAAATCTCTTTGTCCACTGAACAACAATTGCTTGTCTAACAACATTGTTTACCAAGCCACCGTAAGCTCAAATAAACCTCAATACAAAGATAAGGTATACATTGATATAAGCGAAACCTCTTTTAAACTACGTTATGCAAACCATCTAAAATCCTTCAACATAAAAAAGTACAAGAACGACACAGAGTTATCTAAGGAAGTATGAGATTTAAAAGATAACAATTTTACATCTTCAATCAAATGGAATATAATTAAACGCTGTAAATCATACAATCCTGCGTCAAAAATTTGTAAGCTTTGTTTAAATAAGAAATTTGAAATATTATTTTACAAAGGAGATAATCTGCTAAATAAAAGAGGCGAAGTAGTTTCGAAATGTAGACATAAAAATAAATTTCTTCTTTCATTATTTGATAGCGGAGATTAGTTTTCCATTACGTCTTCTTGACTAAGACGTCAGAACTCATTCTACTGTAGTTTGTAATTTTTAAACGGTTTTTTATATTTTTGATTTTGTACTTCATGGCTGATGATTGCCGATAGGCATGAAACTTTAAGTTCCATTAAAAGTTGTTTTTTCTATATTTAAGTATATATATATATATATATATATATATATATATATATATATATATATATATATATATATATATATATATATATATATATATATATATATATATATATATATATATATATATATATATATATATATATATATATATATATATATATATATATTAGTATTAGCTTATATATCAGTATGTTTTGTTCAATGTATTTGTCCAATCTATTTTTAAAAGAGTTTGTGCTTTGCTGCATGACAACATCAACTGGTAGTGAATTACAAATAGAAGCAACTCTACTGTTGAAGAAATTATAATGTTGAGCACAGCTCTTTATGATTTCTCTGCAGTATTGTAAACGTTGGTCAGCTCCTGGAGAAACCTTCAAAGTTTCATTGTGCCTGACTACTTTATTTTTAAAATTCTCTAGTTTGTATTTTAAATTAGATCTCTTTACTAGTGATGAGCATTTAATTGCAGAACAGTGAATAGTGGACTTAAGGTTAAGAAGATTGTGTGGTATTTTTGAAGCACTTTTTTGAGTTTTCTCTAAAATTTTAATATCTTTTTTTTAAGTAAAGCGTCCATATTGACACTGCATTCTTTAAGTGTGGGCGCACATAAACTTTATAAAGTGTATAAAACTTTATAAAAGTTATAAACTCCATATAGTAATATTTCTAGATATAAATGTATTTTTTTAGAATTTCAAGCGTTTGATTAGCTTTGTAGCTGATGTTTTTGTGACATCATGAAATTTAAGATCAGAGGACAATTGTTCAGTTGTTGTTACTTCAACCTTAATTGTCTAGTGTGTACAAAGGTCATTTATATAGTAATCACATTTTACTAAATTAGAACTCCTTAGAATATGCATTACTTTCCATTTGCTTTTGTTGAGTTGCATTTGCCATATTCTTGTCCATTCTGTAATCCAATAAAATAACAGAATTGAAGAAAACTGTTAATTTCCTGGACTTCAAATGAAAAAAATTTAAACAAAAAATCACACACCCTTGTACGTACTATATATATATATATATATATATATATATATATATATATATATATATATATATATATATATATATATATATATATATATATATATATATATACCAGTGAGTGTGATGAATAAAATCGCCTAGCATGAGATTTTGCTCTTGTAGTATTATCAATGAGAGCAAATATGCGTGATCGGCATCAAGTCTTCAAGAGCAATATTCAGAGTTAGAAATTGGTTGCCATGAAGCCATCCATAAATCACGTGCCCAAGTATGTGGAGGGGGTCACTCAAAAGCGTACCAGTGCATACAAGGAAAAGGGTGGATAATTTTTTGTTTAAATTTTTTTTATGTGAAGTCCGGGAAATCAGACAAAAAACTTTGGTTTTTTAGTTTATTATTGCAGGTTGGATATTAAGTTAAAACAATGGAATCGCCATACTAAAAGATGGCAACATAACTATGTTTCCTTTTTGGATTTGAGTTAACATACTTGATTGCGGACATTTTAAACAACAGAAACCTTTTAAATTTCATTTAAAAGGAATAATAGTTAAAAAAAAATAGAATAAAAAAATATATATATTTCTTTTAATTACAAAAGATGTGTGAAAAATTAAAAACAATAAAGCAAAAGAATTTTTTGCTTTTACAAAATGTGTAATTAAAATTGTGGATTAAAATTTTTTATTTTTTAAAAGTCAATCAAGTTTTAATTTTTTAATTTAAATTTTCTGTTTTCATTGGGGTGAAACGTTTTAAAAATAGTAAACATTCCATTCTATCTATTAGTAGTAATGACTTCATAACTTTTAATTCATTATTTGTACAAAATAGAAAACTGCTTTCTAATTTAAACTGAATAATATTTTATATACTTGACTATATACTTAACAAATATATAATAGATTTATAATAGTACAATATATTAGTATATGTATACTTACAGGCCCATAGAAACCGGGAGGGCAGCAGGGCATTTGCCTCGCCTCCACCCCTACCTCTGCCCCCCTCCCCAATAATTTTTAAAATAAATAGTTTTGAAGAAATTAGCTAAAAAAATGACTGAAAAAAAAAACAGGGTCTGAAAACTTTTTCAGGTTAGTACTGCCCCCTAATATAATTTTTGTTCCTACAGGCCTGTACTTATACAAATATAATTTATAAATAACTTATATACTGACGTATATTTTGAGAAATACGTTTGTGAAACTAGTGACATAATATTTTTTCTTTTGTTGTTTGTGAGCACGCTCTCAAAAGTTTCAATTCAAAGTTATATAACAAATATATTTGCTATACGTATTGTTTATTGAAATTTTTTTTTTAATTTTAAGTTGCGCTTAGCTCAAACTTTTTTATTAAATAGACTTTAATATAAGCTCAACTGATTCAAAGATCCCAGTGAAAGTATTTAGTTTATTAGCTTATATTTGACAAAAAATATTTGATATTCCAATGTTTTGAAGTTAATGAATTTTAAATATAATAGTCATTAATTAATAGAATGTGATCGAACAGGTCAGAAATCGAAGCTTTAAGGTGACACTCCATCAAATATTCCAAAATGTTTAAACTTAAAAAAAAAAGATAAATTTTATATCAATAAAAATGTTGTTAATTTAAAATGCTACTTTAAACTTCATTTTACTTTGTCTTGATTACTTTGCCTCCAATTTATCAAAAACATTCATTAAAGGGTCCATTCCAAACACGATAACTTGAAATATATTAACACATCATCCATGAAATTTTTTACTTATGTTCTAGATAAGTCAGGTAAGATATTGACATTTGGATTTTATGATTTTCAAAGTACATAAAAAATTATATCAATTTTTTTACATCAAGTAAAAAAAAGACTTATTTAGACCTTAAAATTAAAAAAAAAAGATTGGAGCAGAATTTAATAATTTCGAAATGTCATTCTCTAGAAAATAGTGTAATAAACATTTCATGAAAATTTGAAGTGATTTGCACTTATGCTTCTTTACATGTTTACAATCAGACAATTTTTTGCAAAATTTAAAAACAGAGAAAAACGTAAAAAAAAATTAAATAATCTTGTCGTTATAAATTTTTTAGTTAATTTATCGAAAAATTAAAAAATAAGTTGAGACTAAGCTTTTTATATTATTGATCTACAATAAATTGCCTGTCAAATGAGCAAAATATCAAAAATTTACATTTCTTTTTCAATTTTCAGAAAATATTTGATGTTGTACCATCCTAAGTGAAGTTTTGGTTTGATAAACTTTTTGCACTAGATATTTATAAATATTACATTATATTATCATTTAATTTTTAACATTTAATTTATTATTATTAAGTTTATTTATTAAGTTTGAAGTTTTCATTGAAGTGTTGCAAATTTTGATATTTTATAACATGGACTTTTATGCAATTCAAAGTAAAAGTTCTAGTTAAGTGAAGTTTTTTGTCAAAGGACCCTAAAAAATTATACAAGTTAGTGAATGGTTCGACTTCCCATTAAGCAGATAATATGAAAAGTAGATAAAGCTCAACTGAAATTAAAAAAAAAACATGCTGGATTTAGCTTTTAAATAGAAGAAGTAAATCATTTTTAATTTAAAATTATATTGCATAAATTAAAATTGTAGTATGTCACACATGAATTATGCGTGACATACTTTATTACAAATATAACTTCTTTATTTAACAATCTGCATACTCTACTGTTTAAACATATTTTGACTTCAGCAAAAAAAAAATTTAAGTAAAAATATTTTCTATAAAATCAACTTATAATTTTCTCCCTCGTTCTTCAGACGAGCGCAATTTTTTACTCTCGTATCAAAACAAGCATGTGTTATTTGTCTCATTGAGAAGGTCGTTTACGGGCATACATATATATATATATATATATATATATATATATATATATATATATATATATATATATATATATATATATATGTGTGTGTGTGTATATATATATATATATATATATATATATATATATATATATATATATATATATACATATATATATATATACAAATATATATATAAATAAACAAACATTTGGTAGTGAACTTTTTAAAATGTTAAAGATAGATGTAATATTAAGTTTGTGTGTATGTAATTAATATATTAAGTATGTGTGTATATATATTTATAATATCAAATTTATTCTTATTAATATTTAAATTTAAAAAAACATTTTCTTGTACACCAAAACAATATTAAAATTTTAGTTTTGTTTTTAGTCACCACCGTCAATGAAGTCTTGTATAATGGCAGCTTGGCTATTAACGGTATCTGTTGGAAATCTCTTAGTAGTTATATTAGCTGGAGTCAAACTAACTGATGATATGGTTTGTTTCTATAATGACATTGTTGCTTCTATGATTAGTTTACAGTTTGGATTATTTAGATTATATATATACATACATATATGTGTGTATGTGTATATATATAAATATATATACACATATATGTATGTATATATATATAATCTAAACTGTATAAATATATATAGCATTCTAGTCGCGACTTTTGGGGACATGTTTTTTTTGTTCTTGTTATGTTTTTTTTTTTTACTTTTTTATACTATTTTTTTCATATTTATATATATTTTTTAACTTTTATTTTATTTATTTTTTTTTTTATACATATTTAAATTTATTATTTTATTATAAAAATATATTTTCTATTTTAATTTTTGTTATTTTTATTTATTTCTTTTATATTAAATTTCATTTTTAACTTTATCTTCAACTTCATCATCAAAAAACAATTAATTACAATAATATAACCATATTTAAACCTTGTCGTAACCCTAACTCTAAGTTAGACCTTGATGCCTAGCCTAACTAAACCCTCAGTCGATGTAGTAGCACTCCCTTGTGAGTCAGGCTATTTAATAGTCGATTTATGTACTTTTCGTTCTCTATAAAAGTTTCTTATGGGTACATTTTTTTACAAAAAAAATAATGCTTACGGGGACAAAAAATTAACGGGTACACTAAAATGTCCCCGATAATGCTAATGTTCCCATAAGTGTTTGTTTTTTGTAAAATCTGTCCCCAATACATACATACATACATACATACATACATACACACATACATACATACATACATACATACATACATACATACATACATATTTATGTATGTATGTATGTATGTATGTATGTATGTATGTATGTATGTATGTATGTATGTATGTATGTATAAATTATAAAAACACTTATCTTTTTTCTTCAACACTTTTTTCTTCATCAATTAGTTTCTCCATCAATAGGCTCATCAGGATGCTGCGAATTAGGGTGTGTCATACTTTGGTCAAAACTTAAAAAATCAGATTTTCCAAACTCAGGTACAAAATGTCTACAAAAATCTAGAAACTATGAAGATATCTCTAATTTTGCATTGGCCAGTATTAGATATGGTGTTGGTTTATGAGTAACTGCAGCAATAGCTACTGCTGCATGAGTAGATAGAGGACTTGTATCCAAAAATGACATTTTTTATCAATTAATAATTGATCAATTAATAATAATTGATCAATTAATAATAGAAGAACTAGGAATAAAGTTATGAAAGAAGTTGCTAATCAGTTTGATATTTACTACGATAAAGAGATTATAAACTGTATATTTTTTGATGGATGAAAAGATCTGAATAAAATATTATGAATCAGATAGACAGTACCCCGATAAAGTTAAAGAAGAAAATTACACTGTTCTGGTGATGGGAAGTATTTATTTCATTTCACACCAGCTAAAAAAAGCAGAAAAGAAACATGCTGAAATTTTAGCGAATAAAAATCTTTGAGTATACTGAAATGAGAAAAATTAGCACACAGCAATTGGTGGAGACTCTACCAATGTAGATACTAATTTCCCAATCAGAAATGCACTTAAAAGTAGGTCGAAAGTTAAATTGGATTATCTGTGCACACCAATGACCTACCATTAAAACATCTGATTAAATTGTTAGATGGAGAATTTGAAAGCTTTAAAAAATGGACCTATTGAAAGCTTACTTGATAAAGCAACCAATCTTGAAACCTGTTTTTTACTTAGATTGAAATTGGTGATTTTCTTATTAACTTGAGTAATGATGTCGTGAAAGACCTTTCTACTGATCAGTATTACAGGTATGAAATAGTTAAAGCATACGAATCGGTCATGTTCCTCAGCAACTAGAATATCTTGAAATTGGCCCTGTTAACATAGCCAGATGGCTAACAACAATTATAGAATTTGTAGAATTGTAAAATCTCATCAAAGTCTTCAAGGCAATGCTGCCCAAAATCTTCTGAAACTTGTAGAGTATACTGTTGGAGTGTATTTTCCTGTCTGGTTTAACATCAAAATTAAGCCAAGTTGGATAGAAGGACCAAAACATGTTCTTTAGCAGGTTAAGTTGCTTCAATACCAGTCAAAGTCATTCCTACTATTAAACAATCTGCTTGGTATTTCTAATCTTCAAACTATGTCTAATCTTCCAACTATGCTTTGTTCTGAGAATGAAGAAGAGAGAAGTTTCAGTGTAAATAAAATTCTTGAAATAAGAGGAAGTGATAAAAATGTGCAACTAGGAGACCTATCTGTTAGACCAAAAATGACACCAGGTATCAACACTATAGCAATTTTTCTCAAAGATCTTATTGATTGGAATGAAGCTTTTGAAACACCATAAACTTGTAGCATGACAACTACAAATATCAAAGAGTACTTTTTTAAACCAATGATTATGCCAAATTGGTGTTGCCACACTCAAGCTGTCGAAAGATGTGTAAAAAAAGTCACCCAGACATGTGAAAATATTTTCGCAGAAGATAGGAGAGATAGTTGGATTAAAGGACAAGAGTTATCTTAGAAATTAATGTCATGTAATCTATCCAAGCAAAACCTTATTGGCTTGTATGTTTGTGTTCTGTCTGTCTCAAGTGTGTAGTGTCTAGTATCTCTATAAAAATACTTATTTGGGCAGATATTAACTGCATCCAGCTACTGTCTTGTAGGAGGCCTCCTAGGCACAGACTTTAGGGCTAAGCAGAATAATTCCGCTAACCAGCCTCGAACCATTTCTACATCTTTTAGGCTGGCATAGATGTTATATTGTTTCCTGCCTAGGATGATAAATGTTGGATTTTTTTGACTCTTCCCATAGATTTTGCTTGTGCGTCCTTGATAGTGGCTGCTTGATAGTGGAAACTCTTCCTGTTATCTCCTAATGAGAGTACAGCTCTAAAACTCAGTTTAATGGTTCTTAGGCTGTCTGGTAGTAAGGTTTTACTGAACTCTGTGGTAGCTCTCTTAGAGGCTGATTCCATCAACAGCTGCAAAATATAAGAGTTTATCAATATTAACAGTACCATGTTGCAGACTGTTAATACTCTGATATTTAGCTGTTGATCATTAACAGGACTAAGAAAATTGCATAGCTCATTGCTTAGAAGGTTATTCTCTATCTATGAATAAGTCAAATTCTCTTGAATCAGGGATCAGGGAATTCATTTCTGACATCAAAATTAGGTTTTGATCACTCTGAACAACAGGCTGTTTAGTGGGGCATTTTTGATTTTTTGGCTTTACAGATTTGATACTTTCATTCATTGTGCAAACTTTAAACTTATGTATGTTTATGGTTTTCAAATTTTAAACATAAGTATGTTTATGTCAAATAATAATCTTTTGCGAAAAAAAGGTGAATGGAGCCTGGGAACAAAAGTGCCTTAAAAAGTTATTCCCCCTTCCCCAAACCTGAGGGCAATGAGTTAATGATTTATTTTTTGCTACAACTTTATGCTAAATTTAACTAAAATTTCAAAGGTTTGAAATTTCACAGAATTATCTTTCAGAAATAAAAAGTTATGACCATAAAAAATTTACAACCCCTTCACTCTCACTTTGGGGAAAGATAAAATTTATTTAGTCATAACTTTCAAAATCTATATTACTATTCCATGAAATTTAAAACATACCATTGTAGCCAAATTTAGTATACTGTAATTAACAAATTCATTTGTTAACTCATTGCCCTCACTGTTGGGGTAAGGGGAATAACATTTTGGTGCATTTTTGCTACCAAGTTCCAATAACTGCAATTTTTTGGAAAGTATGCTCATTTGACATTAACATAAACATACTTAAATTTGGAATTTAAGCAACATTTAAAAGTGTTAAATCAGTAACAACAACAAAATCCAGTTTGCGCTATTGGAACTATATTGTTTTTAAGGGTCAAATTACATTTAACTAGCACCCCATATAAAAAAATAAATAAGTTTTGAATTGTGAAATCAAATAAACAGATCCATGCAAGTTACAAGTTTTCTACAAATAGAAGTTTAACTTCTTTAGGAAGAAGCAATTTCACTTTCTTTTTGCTTCACAGCAAATCACTGAATCTGAGCTACACAGAAGTCTTCTCATTAAATCTCATTGTTTTTTTCTAGAAACTTTAGGTGTAAAGAAATTTTTGAAATTTTTTACACCTTTGTTTCTGCTTTACTGTGCTTTTTCAGAAAGCATACCAGTAGATAAGCTTTTATTGTAAACTACCTGGTGAGACCATTAACAGTTTGTATAAACCTGCAGCATATAATACCAGGAGTTTATATGAACAAAGCTTTAGGTTGTCTCCTTGCAATAAACCTGCAGCATATAATACCAGGAGTATATATGAACAAAGCTTTAGGTTGTCTCCTTGCAATAAATCTGCAGCATATAATACCAGGAGTATATATGAACAAAACTTTAGGTTGTCTCCTTGCAATAGATCTCTAGAGCCTCAGGATTTACCTGATCCATATCTCTAGAGCCTCAGGATGATCCATACATGACACAGTACATAGTATGATTTGCAAACGCTTAGTTAGTTCCTTGTCGATACCCAATACTTCAGCAGAAACAGAATAATCCTGAAAACATTTTTATTTATAAATATTTTATAGATCATATATCGTTTAGCTTAAATTATAAAAATTCTAAGGGAAGGTTAGATTTTTTTTTAAAAACATTTTGCCGTATTACCATCGTTGGATGTTCATGATCTGCCGGATCTAGGAACATCCACTAACAAACCAATCTTCTCCTTTAATCCTCACTGAACCAATATTTTCTTCTCCTTCATTTTCAATTTATTTTCTCCCCTATTTTGCCATTTCTCAAAACCTGTTCTGTATGATATGTGGAGAAGACACTCCATACATCTGATCCATTCATAAAAAGTAAATATTCCATAGGAAAAGCTAGATTTACTTAGTGTGTTGCTTTTCTCATAAATAGTGTCTAGATTATTTGTAGTTGCCCCACAAATAGAACAACAAAGAGTTTGATTAGTTACATCACTAAGGGTTGTTGCTATTTTGCCATACAACATGGTCATTTCTAGTTGATATTCAATAATAACAACAAAAGTGAGCTGAAGTGAAGTTGATATTCAACAATAACAATAAGAGTGAATTGAAGCTCCTTTGGTATGATTTAGCTCCTAAACAAGAACACCTTTGTTTTCTTTAACATATCTATAACACATTGGTCTGCAGTACAAGCTTGATGAAGGCTTTTCATTAACCAACAGAATTTCAGATGTAGCAACTACAGACAGTTGAAGTCAGGAATAGACTTTTCTCAACAGAAGAATCTTCACAAATACATTCTTTATCTTTCTGTTTGTAAACAGATTGTTCTGTATTGCCATCAAATCCAACTTAGCAGATTAGTAAAAGTTTAGAATTCGGAGGACAAGTGTTAGCAATTTCAATTATCCTCTTTCTTATATGGTTTAATATATCTTAAAGCCAACTTCAGCTGAGTAGTACTCTACTTGTATTACAGAGGGATGCAGTATTCCTTTGCCTCTCATACTGAATTATATAAAAGATACATCTTGCTGTATCTTTATTCCTTGGCTCCATTGTGCAATGATAATCATTCTTGGATAATTTGCATTGTAATAACAGAGCAAGTGCTTCCTTACTACTATAGCAACCACCCTGCTGCACTATTCTATCATCTTTACTACTGAGTATTTACTGAAAAACCTATGCATCTTTTAACCTTTCATCCATCTTGAAATGCATCATAGCAGCAGATAACAGTTTATTTGTAAAGTAAATGCATCATAGCAGCAGATAACAGCTCATAGTTTTTCCGATTTTCTTTTCTTTGTCCAGTTCGATCCACAAGAAAATTCCACTGTAGGTCTCCCTTGTCCTGAAAATTAATGAGGCATTAAAAAAATTTATTTAATTGTTTCTAGAAGAGCATAATATCTTCATGATTAGGCACTAAATTATAATTTCTTGGGTAGGAGTTGCCGGAGGTGGGATATTTTTATACATTTCATACTAATCATACTTGATATCTGTATACAATTTTTTACTGCTCTAGACTTTAAAGAAATGTGAATAATTATTATACAGTCTTGCTCAATATTTTTGAGGATGCATAGTTTCATACGACATCCGACGCATTCATGTTAAAAAACTGTGAACATTTAAATATTGGCTTGAATAAAAAATTTTAAGCAAATTTCATATATACTTTTGTAATTTTTTTGTTAAGTTTTCATAATTTGGTCAACTCAATCGCAGAAAATCTTTTAATAAATTGTTAGTTAAAGTTTTTAACATTTTAAAAGCATTTAAATTAGTTTCATATAATGTATTATAACGTGTAGTAAATCTATTACTGCAAAGTTTTTTTTACATGAAAATTTGTAAAAATTATGCCCTAATAATGTAAAAAAACTTTTTAAATAATTATAAAATTTTTAGTAAATATGTATAAATATTTTCAAATTGCATAGGTTAGATTATTTCTAAATTTCACAGATGTATTGCCAGTATTTACATGTTTTTCATGTTTTTCACACATATTTTAAAAACTTTTTGACTTTGAAACATCCTAAAGGGTTTACAAAGTTGATCAAAGGCAGTATAAAATAAACATTCATTGCCATTAACATATGCATGTTAATTGCAAATTATTAAAAAAGTCAATATATAACCTTTCGTTCTGACCTTATTGGTAAACTCTGGCCCACTGTGCATTCTTTTAAGTGCTTCTACTTAGCACCTCCACTCTATTGCCTTTTTCTTTGTTCTTTATTGTTCTCCTTTTTCGCAAGACTATACTCTTTTAGATGTAATTTCTGCTCAAATTGACCATCTTTTTACCCCTCTGCTCAGTTATTGGTGACTGACCTTGCTGGGACTAAAGCCTATAATTCTGCATTTTGCTATCTCTTACTCAGATAGTTAACCTTTGACTCGTTTTCCTTACAACCCTAATCATTTACCCTCGCTTCTTGATTTATGTCTGGTCTCTGATCTATGCTTGTGTTCAGTTTCTACTTTTTCTGCTTTAGGTGGTTCTGACCATGCAATGATCTCTTTAAATCTTTCATCTCATACTTCCTTTTCAGGCTCACCTTATCATCACACTACTTATTACTACCCTAAAGGTGATTAGGATTCTTTTTGTGATTTTCTTCATGAGGGTTCTTGGACTGATGTCTTTTCTCTTTTAGCTGAAAAATGTGCCTCCTACATAACCTCCTGGATTCATGCAGAGATGGAAGTTTTTATTCTTACTCATCGGTTCCAAGCCTTTTTTTACTCCATGGCTTTCACTCTCTTGTGCAGCGGCTATACCTAATAAAAATCACTTTCAAAATAACAACTTTCTCGAGAACAAACAGCTACTTATTATTGCAAGAAAGCAATGTAAAAAGTTGCTGTCAGATGCTAAGCTTCGTAATTCTCAATTCACTAAATCTCATATTTTATCTTAGAAGTTAGGTTCTAGAGACTTTTGGAAAATCTTCAAATCTGTAAAAAACTTTAAAAGGTAAGTTTAAAATTCCAATTCCAATTAAATTAGTTTACCAGTTTTGATTGTTTTTCACCAGTTTTGTTTGTTAGACATTCAAATCACTCCAGCTTCTGTTGCTTAAGTCATCAATTCTCTTCTACTGCTTGTGATCCAGACAATGTTCCTGTCATTGTCACTCCTGTCATTGTCTTACAAAATTTTTCTTCAGAACTCTCTATAATTCTCTCTAAACTTTTTATTAAGTGCTTGACTGAGTCTTTTTTTTTTCCAGTAACTCCAAACTTAATAGTGATTGCTTGCAATATATTAGACCTTTGTAATAAATAGTTTTTGCCGACCTGATACCGAGGTCTTTATATGTATATATATATATATACATATAAACACTTTGGTAAGTTAAAAGCATTTATTGATAAAAAAACATCTTTCAACTAACGCAAGTCATCTTCAACTAAAATTGGATTAAAATTTGTTAAAATACCTCTAAAGGTGTTAAAAAACCAATACAAAATGTAATTGTTTGTTTAGAAACACTGAGTTTGTTCAAAAGATTCATTTTCATTCATTAAAGAATCAATTCCACAAACATTATTTAGTATTATATGATGTAACCAGCTTGTATATCAATGTTTCACTTCAAGAAATCATTAAAATTGCAGTTAATTCAATTTTTTTCCATAATAAAAACAATAAAATTACTAAAAATAATTTAAAAAACCAATTCCAATTTGAAAACACATTTTCTTTTTTAAAGAAAAACTTACAATCAAATCGATGGTGTAGCAATGGTGATCCTATTCCTCTATAGTTCAGGTTATTCGTGTTTGTTCAGGTTGGTCAATAAATTCATATTTTCAGAATGTAACTCCTGTTATATAGGTGAAACTACTTACCATCTTAAGACGCAGATATCTGAACGTTAAAAGAGATCAAAATGTTTCATTTTTAAATAACATCTCCATGCTAATAAAAATTGTTTTAAAATGAATGTGATCTTGGAGTCATTTTCTCAAACAATCTGAAGTGGAAAAGTTATGTATTAAAATGCGTAGGTAAGACCAACCCAATGTTGGGTTGGATTAAAAAATATTTTTTTCATTTTGATATAAGACTCTTGAGAATACTTTATGTTTCTTTTGTGCGACTACTGTTAGAGTTTGCAGTACCAGTTTGTTCACCTATTCAAGAGGGTGAAATTGATTTATTAGAAAGAGACCAACATCACCTAAGAATAAGAATCACCTAAAAACTCTTGCCTCGACTACCTTGATAAAAAGGGGACAAAGAGGAGTCATGATTCAACTTTTCATATTTTTAACGGTTTCAATGTTTTGGAAACAATCAGAAAAAATAGTATTCAACAAACTCAAACGAGAGATCACAGCTTTAAATATGTCAAAGAAATCACTAAGTTAGCGTGTCGTGAAAACGACACGCCAGTTACAGCAATCAAGCAAATCAGTATAGTGTGTAAATACAACACTCTCTCACGCCAGTTGCAGCAATTACTAATTCTTCTAATACCGTGTTTAATCACTACATATGTATTTTAACAAATTTTAATATTTTATTTTAACTGAAAATAACAAGTGTTAGTGGAAACATGCTTTGTTTTTTATTAATAAAATTGTTTTATTTTTAATCTTTTATCAAATGATATCTTAGTTAATGTTTTTACTTTTTCATTGTTAGGCAGAGGAATTTTTTTTCTTCGCTATTTTACTGGCTGTTGTCACGGTGATTTTCGCTATAATGGCATATTTTTACACTTATATTTACTACGGTTCTAGTAGAGAGACTGATCCTAACCCTAATGGTTGCACTGAAGCCACCGAGGCTATTTTAACATCTGATAAAGAATTAGAAAAACATGGAACAACTGAAGCCACAGAAGTTACGCCATTGGTTACCGATATAGAATTAAAAAAACATGGAACAACAGAAAAAACTCATATAAATCAATAATCAATAAAATGAATATTTCGAATTTCTTTTAACTTCTTAATTGCAATCTTTTTTTTATGGATTATTTTTTTATTTGATTTATATGTTCATATATGAATTAGTTTATTTAATTAAATTATTTTTAATTTCTATAGCGTGTAAAAATGCTTTGTTTATAAAGAATTATAAAATGTTTTTCTTTTATTTGTTTCTTTTAAAGGGGGAAACCCCCTCTAATTTTTAAATCAATTTTCAGAAAAATAAAGTTGTCAGATCAATAGTATATATAAAAAAATTAGAAAAAAGTATAAAATAAAATGATAAGCTGTTGCTATGGAAACCATAAAAAAAAATACCAAAAAACAGCAAAAATAATATTGTGGGCTAGAAACAAAACATCACTAGTTGAAAATTTTGTATGGTGTTTATTTAGAGTAGAAGAGTGTTTTATGTTAGAATTTCAAGTAGAATTTTTTCACAAATATAATTTTAGGTATTTTAAAGTCCAATATTTTTTAATATGGTATTAAAACAGCATAAACAAAAGGCGTAAAAAAAAAAACTATTTAAGTTAAAACGCTCTAAACCATTGAATAAACATCTACTGAAAATTTTAGAAACATTTCTTGAATGGTTGGCGAGCAATGTTGGCCGGCGTCTTAAATACTTCAAAGTAAGAAAAAAGCAAATTAACATTTTTTTTATTAAATAACACTATAACGTGAAAAAAACAATCACTAATTTCTTTAAATCTAAAAAATAGTATTTAAAATTCTCTTGGTTCATAGGTTATACCTTCTTTTTCTTAATTATTATCATTTAAAAAAAAATTTTTTTTGCTATATTTAATTGTCAACTTATTCTTTTCCTTCGTTCAATAATTAAATTGTTTTATATTTTGTTGTTTATTTTATTTTATACCTTTAACCATGAAAACACCTCATAACATGTTTAATTGTTCAAAAACCAACTCTGAAGTTTTCATACCAATATTATTATTTGTTAAGACACCGTACACACCAAACTTCAAATTATCGAGTGACACATACCTGGTCTTTGGTAATCGTTCCCAAGTCATACTGTTGAACAATTCATAAGCATTTTGAGTCTTACCATCTAAACACTTTTATAGTTCTAAATCTTTGCTAAGATCCTCAAAAATGGGTCTAATTTTTAAAATTGTTCATTAAAAGACCTGTTGAAATACACGTCTTGCACCAGTGGTCTCATACCGCTTGCAGATCCTTTGTATATAATTTTACAAATGTGAGAGTTCCTCCTTTGGGCAAAGGCTGTAGCGTTTGTTTTGAGCAAGATCTTTTTTCAAAAAGCAACCTTTGCAGAACCTGCACATTGTTTTTGTATCCAAAACTTTTCCAGTGTCTATTGAAAATGCCTAAAAGACACCTTTTAATGATGAAAAGCCTCATCTCTGTCAAGTAGTGTTGCGAAGGTAAAATTTACCGGAAAATTTTGAAAGTTTACCGCCTGGTAAACTTTCAAAATTTGAAATTTTCAAAATTTCACTTTTTTTTTTATTTTTTTTTAAACAAATTTACCGTTCTCTAATTAAAATTTACCGATAAATTTACCAGTAAATTTTACCGGTAAATTTTAAATCAAATTTTAGTGGAAAATTTACATCACTACTGTCAAGTACCGTCACTCAACACACTAATACCAAAAACTTCATCATTAGCATCATGTTTACGCAATTCTGCTACTGCATCAAACATGGTATCTTAAGCTAATTTTTGTGTGACAGCACCTATTTTCACAGCTAATTTTTCATAATTATTTAATGGCTGTGGCATGTTCATTAAAGTAGTAAATATTTTTATACCAGAATGTCCCTGTCCAAGTGCACGCATTGCGTATACTGTTCTACGATTAATATCATATCCTCTGTTATTTTGTTTTGAAGTTTTTTTTTTTCTTTTAATTTCATTTTATATTTCACTGTTAAAATAAATTACAGATGAGTTTTACTAGGTAAATATCAATAAATAAAATATTTTAAAAACAGACGAGGACTCAAAGATGATAGGAATGATGTAATATGTAATAGAATATCGTATCCGCCTAGAGTATCATATCCCCCTTATAAACATTACAAACGCAGACGCGATTTAAATTTATAGCATTTAGAAGTGGACCTAGGTCGTCCGAAACAATATTCGGACATTAACAATGTGCATATACGTCAAAAGAAAGATCGAATTTATGAATAAAATGTTATTTAAAGTAAAAATTTGATATTATATCTTATATTTTACTAAGTTTTATATCGAATAAAATTCTTATGCAAGAAAGATATAGTATTCTAAATAAAAAATGCTCATATATCCAATATTTCTTAAGTTTTATGTCAAATACGATTATTATTCACGATTATTATACAATATTCTAAGTAAAATTTGAAACTATATCCTAAATTTTACCAAGTTCTATGTAGAAAACGAATGTTACTCCATGGGGATATCATATTCTAAGTAAAATTTGATACTTTATTCTATATTTTACAAAGCTCTATATCGAAAGCGATTGTTACTCAAGGGGAATATGATATTCTAAATAAAATAAAATAGTATATCTTATAATTTACAAACTTTTTTGTCAAATACGATTCTTATACGAAGGAGATGTGATATTCTAAGTACCAATTTGATCCTATATTTTATTGAGTTCTATGTCGAAAACGAATATTGCACAACGGGGAGATAATATTCTAAGTAAAAATTTAATACTAAATCCTATATTTTACTAACTTCTTTGTCAAATACGATTTTTATACGAGGTTGATATGATATTCTTAGTAAAAATTTGATACTATAACCTATATTTTACAAATTTTTTTTTCAATTTTTATTCTTTTACGAAGGGAATATCATAATCTAGGCGAAAATTTAAAACTATATCCTATAATTTACTAAGTTCTTTGTCAAATACGATTCTTATACGAGGGGGATATGATATTCTAAGTTAAAATTTTTAACTATATCCTATATTTCATTAAGTTTTATGTCGAAAACAAATATTACACAAGGGGGATATGATATTCTAAGTAAAAATATAATACTAAATCTTATATTTTACTAACTTCTTTGTCAAATACAATTCTAATACGAGTGGGATATGATATTCTAAGTAAAAATTTGATACTATATCCTATATTTTATTAAGTTTTATGTCGAAAACGAATATTACACAAGGGGGGTATAATATTCTAAGTAAACATGTAATACTAAATCCTATATTTTACTTTTTGTCAAATACAATTCTAATACGAAGGGGATACGATATTCTAAGTAAAAATTGATATATTGGATTTGATTTTTATACAAATTGGTTTGATATAACTTTTTTAATCGAATTCATTTCTGAATAAAAATATTTTCCCAAAAAAAAAATAATTAATTTTTGTTAAACTTCTTTTTTAATATGGGCCTTAAAATACAATTAACAATAACAACGTTTTTAAAAGATTATTTTTTAAGAATCAAAGTTTTCAATTATTTCGAAATTAACTCTTATCGTGGAAGACATATCTAAAAACATGATAATAATCCAAATAATTTATTTTTTTATTTATAAAGGCGTTTTATTTATTAAAAAATATTAACGAATTTAAGTATAAAGTTAATATAAAGTTTAAAAAAAACAAAAAAAACATAAATCAATTATATTAACAACTTGCATTTGCAAGAGAAATGTTTGAGCAAGTAAATAAAGCACTTGTTTTTTTTTGCATAACCAATGCATTCCATTCGATTTGGAATGCAGTTATCGCATTTTATATATACAATAGTAGTGATTTTTTGGGTAATATACCGTCTTTTATTTGATAAAAATAAACATGAAATTTTCCCACATATTCGACAAAGTTTATCTTGCCAACTTCTCTGACCTTTTAATCAAAACATGCACCACCATTTACAGTTTTTTTTTTTTTTCTTTTTGTCATATTTAAAATTACAGTTAAATTACTTCCTCTTTCAATAAGTAAATGCACCACTTTCTTTCTAAACTCTATAACATCTTTAATTGGAAAGTTAAGCACCAACTTTTTCCTTTTTATATAATTTTTAGCAAACTAATTTTTTTCTTTTTACAAACATTTAATTTAATTCAATGATACAACTACAATTAAAAAGAAATCAGTGTCAATTTTTATTTATTCGTTTTAAGTAAATTTTTGAATCTTAGGGCTTCTTAACTTCAATGGTTTCACTGCTAATCATAAATTAACAATAAAACCATTCACTGTAAATCAGTTTTAGCATGTAGTGCTATGACCATGCAGGTTTATTTTAAGTTCTTAATATGTCATTTAAACCTTTTTCTTATCTTTTTTGTTTAAAAATCATTATTTGACACTTAGTCGACATTTTGATACACCTTTTATTTTTTCATATTATCTTCAAATTTGGGGGAGGGTTTGACATAAAAAGGACAAAAAAGGACAAGGGAAGGGGGGGGGGGAGGTTGTCAGAAAAGGAAGTCACTTTGTAGATTTTTTATTTTAGTTTAGATAACATGGAAAACTATGTAAACATGTGTTTTTAAGAAGATAATGTATGAAAACATTTTTAATTTTATTTTTTAAAGGTGTAGCAGGAGATTCAAATATCATTGCGAGATGAAATAAATTTTTTCAGGGTTAAAAATAGGGGTGGGGGCAGGGTTTTATGACGTCCTTTTCATAGGGGGTCAAAAATTGGCTGAAAACTGGTGACGTCCTTTATGGATGGCCCCTAATTAGGTATGTTTCAATAAAGTTACCTTAAGATAAAAGACTCCACATGATATACTGTCTGTTTGTAACGCATGTGGTCACTAACTTGAATTTCTCATCAACACAGAATCTTTGCAGCAAGTAACTACTAAGATATTTACAATAGAATTATTTAAATTTTTTGAAATTTTTCTTTTGAATTTGATTTCAAATTGGAAATTTAAAATCATTGATTTCATACTTACTATTTGTTTCTTCATTTAGTGTAGAAGCTTAGGCTTAACCAAGAGGGTCGATATAATAGATTA